GCTTTGTGGATAATTTGGATTGACAGAAATACAAGCCAGTGGGTCCTAGATCAAATCAAGCCTGAACTTTCTGTGGAGGCAAAAATGACAAAACTGAGGCTCTCATACTTTGTGAAAAGGCAGATTTGCTAGAAAAGAGAATAATAATGAGAAAAGTTGATGGCAGCAGGAAAAGAGGATGACCAAATATGAGATGGTGTGACTATCTTAAGGAACCACAGATTTGAATTCACAAGAGCCAAGGAGCTCAACTAAGTATGAAAGGAGTATTCGCGATCACACATTTATTAAAATATTATGAAGCCTTTCAGATAGCTCAATTAACTTTATAAAGGAAAAAGAGACCCCTGAATGGGTTCAAATGGAAGAGGAAGGGGAAGCAAACCTAATTAAGTTACATTTATATACATCTAAGTTGCCAAGAAATTGGACTCAATTACAGAACCCTTTTACTACAGAAGCAACGAGAATATGGAGAAGAAATAGGAAAATTCTTGCCTCTCCAATATCCCCATTATGTCCTTGTGTAGAACACCCACAGTTTGAATGTAAGGATAAAAATCTTCAGTTGAAACTTTGGAAGGAAACAGGAATTTATAGAATAAAATATCAGTTTGTACAAGGAAAACCAATTACAGTTAGCCAGCTCCAAGAAAAAACTACAGAAATAGCAACTAACTGGTTTCAACTGTCTCAGATAATTGAATGTTGCAATTCAGTTCATAAGAAGTCAGGCCCTAATAGATCATTAACAGAGCTAGAAAAGAAAATTACAGATAGGAATGATAAAAAGAAAAAGAAAAAAAACTAATTTCACTAATTTATAAAAGCATTCTGGATAACAAACATGGTAGCAGCACAGGACCAAAGATACTGTATTTTTCGCTTTGTAAGACGCACCTGACCATAAGACACCTAATTTTAAAAGGATATTTAATATTTAATAAACTATAACAGGATGGAGGGAGCAAACAGACAAGCCCTCCTAGAGTCCCCAAACCTGCACAGCTCTGGGAAGAAACGAAGTGACCAAGCACTGCCCAAACATGGTAGCAGCACAGGACCAAAGATACTGTATTTTTCGCTTTGTAAGACGCACCTGACCATAAGACACCTAATTTTAAAAGGATATTTAATATTTAATAAACTATAACAGGATGGAGGGAGCAAACAGACAAGCCCTCCTAGAGTCCCCAAACCTGCACAGCTCTGGGAAGAAACGAAGTGACCAAGCACTGCCACACTGTGGACTGGTTTCAACTGTCTCAGATAATTGAATGTTGCAATTCAGTTCATAAGAAGTCAGGCCCTAATAGATCATTAACAGAGCTAGAAAATTACTATATAGATAGGAATGATAAAAAGAAAAAGAAAAAAAACTAATTTCACTAATTTATAAAAGCATTCTGGATAACAAACATGGTAGCAGCACAGGACCAAAGATACTGTATTTTTCGCTTTGTAAGACGCACCTGACCATAAGACACCTAATTTTAAAAGGATATTTAATATTTAATAAACTATAACAGGATGGAGGGAGCAAACAGACAAGCCCTCCTAGAGTCCCCAAACCTGCACAGCTCTGGGAAGAAACGAAGTGACCAAGCACTGCCACACTGTGGAGAAACGGCAGGAGACCGTGAAGGAAAGGACAGCTGCAGCCCTGCAGGAACTGGAGAAGAGAAGCTGAGGGAGAAACAGTTTTCAGAAGGTCTGGTGGGGCAGAAGAGGCTACTCAAGAGCCCCGTCAAGAAAGGCTTCCACCGGCTTCAGTTCGTCCCAGCCATGAGGTAGAAAGAGTGGCTGAGTCCCCAAAGCAAATCATACTCCTGCCCCGCCCGGTGATAAACTGGGAGACCCTCAGCAGTACCAATATTCTCTCCCTCTCCTTCCTCCATTCCTTTTCCTGCAGGGAGGATGGAAAAGCCACACTGGGGCAAGCACCTTCGGGCACAAGTGCATGCCTGGAGAGCAGAGGACTCCCTGGCATCCGCTTTCCTCCAGGCCCTCTTTACGCGGCAGGTCATCTATTTCAGGGAAAGCCCAGAGCCCCGGCATACAGCCAGAGCCTGGGGGAAGCACGAGAGGGGATGGGCTGGAGCAGGGGGAGAGAAAGGTAGCCACTGTGCGGTCCGTGCCTCACTGCCTGCAAGGCTGGCGAGCCCACCCCCACCCTGGCCCTTCCTGCCGCTGCGGAGCTGGAGGGCGTGTTTTGGTGTCTGGGGTGTGAGCTGCCTCACAAACATGCATCCATTCACCTCTGCAAGTGCCTCTTTCTTACACCCACATACTTGATTCCTCATGACTTTTCTTTTATACCTTTTTCTTTTGCGTGAAAGATGGATTCAGCAATTAGAAAACTGTTGGGCGGCAATTGAAAAATATCTAGGGGAATAAAGCACAAGTACGGTTCTTCCTTTTAGTCTCTTTTGGTGGGTCTCTTAAGGAACTTTTTGGGGAAAGACGATGCATTTTTTAAAGCTAAGAACTATTCAGAGATAACTCACTAATCAAGAAGGATCAGGTGTGCCTGCCTTGCTGGCCTCTCACTCTCTCCCTCCAAGGACACGTGCCTCAAGCAGCTTGGGTTGGAGTTGGGAGGGTTACAGTATTTGCTCCATAAGACGCACACACTTTCCCCCACACTTTTTTGGGGGGGGAATTCCGTCTTATGGAGCGAAAAATACAGTAGTTTGGGAAACAAATGTAAATATCAACATACAATATAAACATATAAACATACGGTATAAAGCCCTAAACGGTTTAGGGACTCGATATTTGATGGAACTCCTACTGCCACCAAGATTTACCCATATCACTCGATCGAGTCAGGAGGTGAGGCTGAGGAGCCTGACGCCGAGGGAGGCCCGAAAGGAAAAAACAAGAAATCGGGCCTTCTTGGCAGTGGCTCCCCACCTCTGGAACAACTTTCCTCCAGAGATTTGTGCGGCCCCGTTGCTGGGTATTTTTAAGACCCAACTAAAAACTTGGATGTTTAAGCAGGCCTTCCCTCCAGCTAATACTTAATTTTTCTTTTTTTCTTATCTTTTACTGTTTTCCATCTTGAAGAATTATTGATTTATAATTTCTTTTTATTTTTGGTATATGTATATGTTCTTTTCTCTTTTTTTATTTGTCTGGAAGCTGCCTAGAGTGGTTGCAATGACCAGATAGGCGCGGTATGTATA